TGAGTTATAGTTCATCATACACTCTATAACTCATTATACACGGGGATCTTCCTGTTGTAGCGGGACAGAGTATTTACCATCCTCCAATGACAACAGCTTCTACCTCTTACTAGGGTGTATACACCCTTCTACGGTTGGGGTTTAGTCCTCCCTGCCCTTCACAGTCGAGGAGCTTGTCTCCGGCTGAGGTACCCGTGAGGTGGAGGCTGGAGGATCTGTCTCCATTTTCTCCACGTCTTTAACTTGGTCTCTTCTTAGACCTGATACCCGCGTTGTCCCGAATCTTTAATAGAGAATATATCTCTCTTTCTTTATTGCCTCCTTGGATTTGAGGTCAATTACATCGCAAGGGTTACTCGGTCTACTTCTACAGAGACCCCTATGTAAGGGAGACGAGAATACAATGGATTGCCCCCTAATGCCCCAAGGTTGAGACTAGTTTTCTATCTAGCCGGCCATCCCTTTGACCTGGTCAAAGATCTTGGTGATAGCGATTTTCTTATAGTTACTTTATGTAAAACTAATGCTGGAGTCGTTAGGTTATAAAGATAATGGTTATAGTTATGGCCTAGTTGATACGATATGTTTAACAGCAATGCTAGAATACATATTTTCTGCCTCTGGACATAAACAATGCCAGAGAATAACTTCATAGATAAAACAGAACGCAATGACATTGTAAAACCACGTACATATCCATACGTATTCGATAACTGGTCTTCGATGTCATTTTTAATACTACATTCCATACATCCGTTTCGTTTTTTATCATCTTCCTTTTCCTCTTCCTACCGCCAGCGACGGGTTTATCGTCACTGGCAACGAACGGACGAACGATCCGCCGACACGACAGCGGACGACGACGCCGGCTTCCAATCTCCGCCCCGACGCTTTCCACACCCGGCAACGCCGCCGCGCCGCGAGGATCTCGCGCGCGAGGTACGACTTCCGAGCGGCTCCTCGACCGCGCTCGGCCGTCTTCGCCTGCGTCACCGCGACCTACTAACCTCATTAGCGGACCTCGCGGCGTTGCTGTTGTGGTATTGGCGCTAGGCAAGGCGGTGCGAAGCCGGTAGAGATGGGCTTACTCAAGCGTCGAAGTATCGATACATTTATGTTATTAGAAATAGGAATTATTGCGTAGACTGCAGTGATGTTCAGTAGCTTCGGTAATAGTATAAGAGCTAGCAACGTTTTCGAGAAAGTATTTTAAGACGTCTGGCTCTTTGATATATCTTTTATTATGCTCTCTAGAACAGCGTGCAGGCCGTCTGGCTGCCGATACACGTTGTGTTTACTACTGCGCATCCAAAGAAGAACCTCTATTTTTTACTTAGCGGTTTAAATTCTAGTATTGAATAAAAACCGAGCAAGTGTCCATTAGCTCGGCGCGTAGAGCTTTTGCCTATGAAGCGAAGGTCAGTGGTTCGATTCCGGCTGGGGTTGCAACTTTTTTATTTGTTTTTTTCGTTTATATTCTGATAGTAAAGTATTAAATATTTGCTTTTTATCACCAGAACGGATAGCGTTTATGGGTTTATGATCCGTAGTGTATATAAGTAGAATTTGATACTTTCATTTGTTTTGAAGGATTATTGTGGTAATTAATTATTAGATAGGTTTAGGATGGTCTGGCTGCCGCGTCGGTAGATGGCGTTCACTACTGCGCATCACATGGGTACAGGGTGTCTCATTTTCGTGCGTTTTTTGGGATTTGGGATATCTGGGATTTCTCGTTTATGAGTGGAGATACAATGATGCATTTTTTTTCACATTACTTTGCTAGTTTTTTATGTAACTAAATATTTTACCCCTAGATTTGTGCATTTTCTACACATTAACATTAATCAATCTTGTTTAGAAAGTATTATTATTTTATTTAATTTAATTTAACCAGATAATTTTGTTTTCCATCGTTATCTTAACAAACTGAACTGAAAATAAACTTGTGTAGCTTTTAGATAACAATCTGTTAAAAAAAGTATTATTAAAATAATAAACAACAGCTGAAAAAAATATTTTGAAGAAAGACAGACAGAAATTACCTTAATAAAGCATTAAAATGTTAATTTTTATATATTATATTTAAATCTTTAAAATAAAATTATAAACGAAAAATCCCAAAAAAACGCACAAAAATGGGACACCCTGTACACATGTGATGTGCAGTAATGAACGCAACCTACCGGCGCGGCAGCCAGACCATCCTAAACCTGCCTAATAATTAATTACCACAATAATCCTTCAAAACTAATGAAAGTATCAAATTCTACTTATACCCACTACGGATCATAAACCCATAAGCGTCATCCGTTTTGGTGATAAAAAAGCAAATATTTAATACTTTACTATCAGAATATAAACGAAAAAAAAAATAAAAAAGTGACACCCCCAGCCGGTATCGAACCACTGACCTTCGCGTCATAGCCGAAAGCTCTACGCGCCGAGCTAATGGAGACTTGCTCGATTTTTATTCAATACTAGAATTTAAAGCGCTAAGTAAAAAATAGAGGATCTTCTTTGGATGCGCAGTAGTAGACGCAACGGGTATCGGCAGCCAGACGGGCCGCATGCTGTTCTAGAGAGCAAAGTAAAAGATATATCAAAGAGCCAGACGTCTTAAAATACTTGTTTTCCCGACGTTGCTAGCTCTCGTACTATAAGGATGTAGAATATTTAAGAGGGGGATTAATCACTGCGACCTTACAGACCTATCGTGTTTTCCGTTTCTTAAGTTATAACGATTTATAAATCATCATACGGTCTCAGGGCTTTGACAAAAGCCAGTATCTGAGAAGGCTTTACAAAGACCAGCTCTTCATTTTCGACATCAACCGTGCCAAACTTTATGGTACGAACGGTTGTCGTCTCGGCGCACTACGTGATAAGGTGTTCTGGTGTTTCCCCATTTTCCCCACAGAACCTGCATTCACCGTTGTTTCTCAGCTTTATTCTAATGAGGTGTTAGTTGAGGAGACAGTGTCCTGTTAGAAATCTCGTGACAATCTGAAGATTGATTTTACTTAAATCAAGGAAAATCTTTGATTTTTTTCGGTGGTAAGTTTTGAGAAACTTTAAAGTCTCATAAATATGCATAATTTGTAGGAATATGATACGCCGGAAGATTTTTTTCTTTAAATGGTCAGGGTAAATATTATAATAAATAACATATTAAACTAAAATATATATATATATATATATATATATATATATATATATATATATATATATATATATATATATATATATTGTGTGCAATTAAGCTGCTTTTGAGACTGGCAGAATCAGGTCTAGCAGATCTAGCCGGACAAATACTCTTGATTTAGGAGCACCAAATATATAACTCTAAAATTGAAAAATATCCCGATATTATTTATTTCTGCTATCGGGTAGATGTAGTAGCAGTTCGAAAATAGTTATTATTCAACGTTTAGACTTTTGTAAATGTATTTGTGTTAGTCTGCAGTGTTTTCTATTTCTAGTCTGTAGTATTTTTCTAATTCTAAAATAGTAAATTGTCTATTTCTGTCCAATATTCTTTGTGTTGTCAGAGTTTCTATTATAGTGAGGAATGCAGGATCAGTGCAGTTTCTTTGTGGTTTTTTTGTTTGAATAATTTTCCTTGATTTTGAATCTGTGCGACACAAAAACATTTAATGTTTTTGTGTATCGGTTTTTTTATAATCGCGACACAGTCCCTTTTACCTAAGCTTTGTTTACTTTGTATATTAATACTTAAAAAAAGGTAAATCAACTATTTGAATTTGAGTCATTTTTCTGGATGGCTGCTTCAATTAAAACCGACGAATAACCATTTTTCTGTAACCAATGTTTTTATTCCTGATATCCTGTGAAATTTTATTTGTGTATGGTTAGAATTATGGTACCCTAAAGAAAGTCTATACATACTGTCAGCTGAGGAGCTTGGAACACCCTCAAAAGGAAAATTCCCTCCAGCAACTCCTACAGGATCAGTTACCAAAAATGTACAACTGTCAGAATCACCTCTCTGTAGTATTGAGCAACAAAAACAATTGGAAGAAAGAACATTTGCTCAGCAGTTAAAAGATCATACCATAACGTGGTGTACCGATGCTTCCAAAACTAAAGTAGAAGCAGGGATAGGAGTATTTAGGCCGAAAACTAAATACTCCGAACCAACTTATCTTAGAAACTGCCGGAAACAATAAATAGTAATCTTATCCGATAGTCAAGCAGCCTTAAGAGCGATCAACTTAGTAACCATCAATTCGAAGTTGGTCAAAGGATGTCTAAAGGAGCTGAATAAATTAGGCAAAGAAAATAACGTCCTCCTATAATGGGTGCCAGCACTACCCCCCCCCCTCAAGTTGAAACCAACTTAAATCAGAACTCACTATGAAGATTCCATCTGTAACAGGGAATGGGAATTTTCCAACATATTCTCAGAAATTTCAGACTTACGACCTAGAAAAATCAAAGATTTTCCTTGATTTAAGTAAGGACAGTCTTCTGATTGTCACGGCTTTTTAACAAGCCACTGCCTCAATAAACATCTCAGTAGATTTTAGATTGAAGAAAAACGAAGAATGCAGATTCGGTGGGGAAAATTGGGAAACACCAAAACACTTCATCACTGAGCGCGCCTAGACGACAACCAGTCGTACCATAAACTAGGGTACAATTGATATCGAAGATAGAGAAGTAACCTCTGCAAAACTGTCTCAGATTGTGGCTTTAGTAAAAGTCCTGATACTCTACGACCAGTTATAACTCAAGAAAAGGTGACACAATAGATCTATAAGGTCGCGGTGATGAACTTTCCCCCTCCCATACAATCTACAGTCTACCCATACTGGACAGTATATTTTTAATGAAGATACCTTTTTATTCCAGATTTAAGTAGAATAAAATTAGTATCGACAATTGGGGAGCATCGATGCGCCGCGGCTCTCCCTAGAAACCAGCCGATTCCAACGAGTTGGCGACGGTCGCCGAGCGAAGAACGATGGTTCAGTGTCAGCCGCCGCGATTCGCCGACCGTCAGTCGCTCAGGAGACTCGTTAACGTGCCGGGCTCACTTGATCCGTGTTGCGGCCAGCCGTGCCAGTGCTTTTCTCGATTTTAGTATTCGTGCCCATTCATGCACCGCCTTGGATTAATATTCGTTTCAACGTCACCATCAAACAGTGCCAAGTGGATTAATATGTAGTTCAAGCAAGTTTTGTGATCAAACCCTTGTAGGATTAAGTGGTGTTGCTTCTAGTGCGTCGTTGGTTCGTTTACACTGACCTAAACAGTCGTTAAAAGTGGTCGTGCCAAGGATTAACGGCGTCAGAAATGTGTGCTCTAGTCTGTGCGTAACTGCGACTGTGATAGCGGTTTGGATTATAGTATGTTGGAACACAGTGCTATGTATCTAAACGTTACTCCTCCATACGAAGACGAGGCGGCGTCTTTCTTTCCAGATTTATATTCCACACGGTGGGTGATACTTTAGTATTTGTTGGTTTATGTTTCCATGCACCCTCTGTCATTCCACGGCAAAAAATGCAAACCCTACATTAGTGATAAGATCACTCGAGTGAAAAATACTCGGTCACTTGAGTATTCAATGTCTCGAGGATTTTTGTCGATCCTTGAGGATTACTCGGCTTAAACTACCACCGGTATGTGGCATACCGTGCTCACGAGAATACAAACGATTTATGATTTATGCTGAAATCGTTTGTATATGGGATAACCGTTCGAACGATACTATCTGGCATAACAATAATAATCGGTTTCCTAGTAATAACCACCAGTATGCGATTCCATTTTTGGTAGACTTGCGTTTTTGAACAGAACACATTACTTATTATTTATATTATTTGTTTTCATTTGGCTTCAAAGGTTGCCAGATGAACCTCAAAGTCAGAGTTAGAATCAAAATTAGGACGTTCTAAAAGGCACCTTATGAAATTTTTATTTCCCACATTAAATCATTCAAGTACATGACAACATTGTGTCAACAAACAGCAAGTAAAAGGCATCAAGTATTATTCGGCTATTGATTGAGATATTCAACAGGCCTTCGAGTAGTTGAATTCTATGTATAATATGTGTAAATAAAAATATATGACTGAGAATTCCTCTGATGATCATCCGATTATTATAATCCTCGAGGATCAATATTTGAAGATTGAAATCATCCGATTATTCCCAACACTACCCTACATATACTAGATAACCGACGATGTTTACATTCCAGAAAATTGACTGTAGTTTTACTCTTATAGCTACTGTGATAGCTCAAAATCCTTAGTGGTTATATCACGAAAGAAGTAATTTAAGTCAAAAATAGTCAGTTTAAACAGGGAGAAATATTAGCTTCTCAGCTTTCACTTATGCAGATATGTTATTACCAGTAAACTGGAATCGAACTTGAAGCTTCAAATACAACAATGTAATAGTAGGTAACCTACTGTAAGGATGATTCAAATATTTACCGAATTTTGACTCTAAACACAACTCAATTCCAAAACAATGAGTTTACCATCATGAAATATTCAAATGTTCAAACACAACAGACAAGGAGATTGGAACAAGTCCAAAATTATAGGTTGAAGCTGTATCTAAATCTGTATGTAACTTTGTATACGTAGTAAAGAAAACTTTTATCACCACACTATACAGTAGCACTTTTATTACTCTAGACACACGAGTCGCTAACCTTGTTAGCATCATCAGTTGATAATTAGAACTAGTTCTAGTTATAATCATAATACAATACATTCATCCTCGCATTCATCTAAATGAATACACATATACAAACAATAAAAACGTATAATTGTTTATAGCTAAGTTTGCAATCTTAAGTGAACCCCATTTTAAAATGAATAATGTAATATTTCTGGCAAATTTAATAATGGATTCTAGATAAGAGATGATTTCGTTTAAGTTGACTATCTAAAACTTCATCGATATTGAAGAAATAGATCGATAGAATATTTCTTTCAAAATTAACAACCGTATATCCAGTAATTTAAATTCGCCATCTTCACAGCACATAAATTGCAGAAATTTTTTAATGGAAAATGTAAATATGCCTGTTTACGAGCAGTTAACTGGAATTTTGACTTTTAAATGCAATAAACAAGGATATTAAGAGAAGTTTTTCCTTTCAAGTCATTTGTTTTATTGTTGCTTGCAGTCTTAAAAACCAAACTATTATTGCGGTGTCAGATGCTGTTTTACCAGTAAAAAAAAGTTTACACAAAATAAATGCATTTGTTATGGAAATGTTACAATCTTCGGCAGATGTGGCAAAAAACAATGGATTCAGCCTAAATTATTCTGATAATAAGAAAACTATGGAGGAATATTACAATATTCCATGTATTTTTGAAATCTTCTTTCTTCTTTCTCAGCCTGGTTCCATCCAGTGTTGGATATAGGCCTCTTCTAGGTTTTTCCATGCTTCGCGATCTCTAGCCAATCTTATCCATTGTCTTCCCGCCACTGCCCTGACGTCAAAGACCCATCTCTTTTTTGGTCGGCCCACACTTCTTGTTGTTCCCCTAGGTCTCCATAGGATTACTTTTTTGGGCCATCGGTCTGGATCCTGTCTTGCCACATGTCCTATCCATTGCCACTTCAGACTTGTCACTCTTTTAGCGATATCTATTAATTTTGTTTTTTGACATATGTGGGTATTCCGTATTTTTTCCCTAATGGTGACTCCCAACAGGATTCTTTCCATGGCTCTTTGTGCTACTCGTACTTGTTCTGCTGTTTCGGGTAATTGCCATAGTCTCTAAGCCATACGTAAGCACAGGTAGAATGCAGGTGTCATAAGCCTTTTTCTTTAGGTTCATGGGCACCTTTTTATACTTGAAAATATCGCTCATATTTCCAAATGCTACCCATGCCAAATGGATCCTGCCCAGCTTGATTTGATTTGATTGAAATATTGATTATTATAAAACTACAGTTGATGCTATCATTCGCAATTCACTGATCTCAGCTATAAATGGTGGTTGCAGAAATCAATTCTGTATATTGATAAAATAAATACCTGGTGTTTTATTTTGTACAATGTCTATAAAAAATTTTTTGTTGTGGTTTTATTTCTTTTACTTATTGCTTCTGGGTTTAAGTTCATTTTCAATTTTTTTATCAGGTGCTCTTTGGAGTTTAGAATTATTTTGACAATAACGTCATTATTTTGGTTTGGTTTTTATTGATAATTTTATGTTCTTCAATAAATAATAATTTTCCTACTTTTGAAACTGAATAGAAGTTTTCGTTTCGTTAGCAGTTTGCAATAGTATCACAATTCACAATGGTGATTTTCAAAGTTGTACATTAGAAAAATTAAACAACTTAATGAATTGAAAGTTTGTACATGAAAATCATGCGAGAATAATGTAAATACAGAACATGCAAATGTAAATAGAGTTGTAATAATACTCAAATTGTCCAATTTGCCGTTTGTTGAGAAGACACATGAATATATTAAGTCCTCATTAAATTTAAGGATATTCTTTCCATGAATCAATACAACAGGCTTTACCTAAAACATACATAACAATAGCCATCTTATCCGTTAGTCAAGCAGCACTAAAAGCAAACAACTCAGTAACCATCAATTCGAAGTTGGTCAAATGCAAAGTTGGTTAAATTAGGCAAATAAAATAAAGTCCTCCTCTCGGACCTCCTACTCTGGGTGCCCGCTCACCAAGGGATAGAAGATAATGAAAAAGCAAATGATCTTGCTAGAAAAGGACCGAACACTCCACTAACTGGACCCGAACCGTTCTGCTTTCCAAGCGGAAACCAGCTTAAAGCAGAACTGAAGAACCTGGAGGACTTCATCCGTAACCTGGAATGGAAATCCTCCGGTTAAGATACTCGAAAAAGTTCCTCAGAACTTACGACCGAGAAAAATCAAAGATTTGCCTTGATTTCAGTAATAACAATATTCGGATTGTCACGGGGTTTCTAACAGGACAATGTGTCCTCAACGAACACCGCAGTAGATTGAGAAACAATTAATGATTCTGTGGGGAAAATGGGGAATCACCAGAACACCTTATCACTGAGTGCGCCAACCGTTCGTGCCGTAAACTTTGGTACGGCTGATGTCGAAGATGGAGAGCTGGCCTATGTGGAGCTGTATCAGATACTGGCTTTTGTCCCCTGAGACTGTATTATGAGTTATAACTTGTTATAACTCAAGAAACACAATAGATCTGTAAGGTCGCGGTGATTAACCCCCCTCCTAAACATTCTATATACCTAAAACATGAAAACTTCATGAATTCTTTTCTTTTGTTTGGTTGATGTAAGTTTTCATTTTAACTCTTATCACTTTCATTGCTTCAAATACGTTATTAAACGCTCCAAATGCTGAACCAAACCCAGTTATTTTTCTGGCACAGAATATCAAAACAAGTTTCTAGTCGTATTTGTTAACCATTAGTTTTAAGATCAAAGTAGGTATCGTGATTCATGAATATCATCAATTTAATTGCCATTTTTTTCCGTTTAATTATATGGCCCAAACCAGTTTTGGGATACTTTGTTATTTGGTAAGAAAAATCCGAACGGGTTCGGGTCCTATGTAATTATATTTTTTATTGGCTGCCAACTCGAGATGTTTCTCGGCTTTACTGTACTAATGATTACCGGTTGATTCCGATTTGAATGATGCCAAGCTTAAATAACAAAGATTAATTAAATTTGGAAATATATTTCCATCTGTTTTTGGAGAAACTAATGTAAATTTTAGAATTAACTTTAAGGAATTTTAGAATTTAGACTTTAAAGTGTCTTTAAATTTTAGTTCACACATCGAAATGGCCTAGGGGATAAAGTTAAAATTTTGTGTTCTCTGCAGCAGGGGGCTTAATCACCGCGACCTTACAGATCTATTGTGTTTCCCTTTCTTGAGTTATAACGAGTTATAACTCATCATACAGTCTCAATGCTTTTACAAAAACCAGTATCTGAGATGGCTCCATAGAGGCCAGCTCACCATCTTCGACATCAGCCGTACCAAAATTTATGGCACGAACGGTTGTCGTCTCGGCGCACGCAGTGATAAGGTGTTCTGGTGTTTCCATTTTCCCTAAAGAATCTGCATTCGCCGTTGTTTCTCAGCTTCAATCTACTGAGGTATTCGTTGAGGAGATGCTCTGTTAGAAACCCCGTGCTAATTCGAAGATTGTTCTTACTTAAATCAAGGAAAATCTTTGATTTTTCTCGGTCGTAAGGAACCTTCGTTGAAGGATTCCCATTCCAGATTACGAATGGAGTCGTCCAGGTTCTTCAGTTGCGATTTAAGCTGGTTTCCGCTTGGAAAGCAGAACGGTTCTGGTTTAGTTAGTGAAGTGTTCGCTCCTTTACTAGCTAGATCGTTTGCTTTTTGATTACCTTCTATCCCTTGGGGAGTTAGGTTAGGTTCTTGGCCTAATTTGTTCAGCTTCTCTAGGCATTCTTTG